ATCTGAGCTGTATTTTGTTGTCACAATCACTGTCCCATTTGATCCTCCTGAAAATCCTGTGAGTAGGAAAGGCTGGGTGTCACACCTGTCTTCTTACGAGGAACTTGGAGAGAGAGAGACTGAGATTGAGCTTTTCCATCCGTTTACTCCCCAAAACAGCCGCGCTGCCAGGGCTGAAACAGGCCAAAGCCAGGAGCATGAGACAGCATCTAGTTCTGCTGTGTGGGTGGCAGGGACCCACGTTCCTGAACCATCACTGCTGCCTCCCAGGGTACACATTAGCAGGACGCTGGATCAGAGATCTGGGACTCAAACCCAGGCGTTCCTACTCGGCTTGCAGGCTTCGCTTAACCACTGTGCCGCCAAGCAGTCCCTGAGGCCAGAGGGAGCAGAATCAGAGCCAGGTTCAAGATTAAGTCAATCAGTTGTTCTTCGCACTGTGCCATGCTGCCCATCGAGTTATTCCTACCTATGTAACAGTTGTCAGAGTGCTTCATGGTCATGGCCGTCATGGAGGCATATGTAACAGTTGTCAGAGTGCTTCATGGTCATGGCCGTCATGGAGGCATATGTAACAGTTGTCAGAGTGCTTCATGGTCATGGCCGTCACGGAGGCAGTGTTGTAGTAGAGGGGGAGACAGAACGCGTGGTGAATGAAAATGTGGATAGGGGAGTGAGGAAGGAACACTGGAAAGGATTACAGCAGGTGATGGGTGGTGAGGGAGGCCTTCCTGGGAGGTGACCCTGGGCAGAGACCCAGAGTGGGGGAAGGGCCCTGCTCAGAGGATTCCTGGAGTCTGGGAGGAACAGCAGGGTACCTGGCACCCCTGGGTGCTTGTCTGACGGGGAAGGGATAGAAGGAGCCCTTGAGTCAGGGAGGAAGAGGGGCTTTTGCTCTTTGTGAGCTGGGAAACATCAGAGGACTTGAGGAAGCAGTATTGTGCTTAGGGTTAGCTGCTACAGGGTCACTGGCTGCTGTGTGGAAAACAGGCTCTGGGAAGACAGGAGCGGCAGCAGGGAGACGTGCAGGCCGCAGCTTAGTTATCAGTGCGTGATAAAGGACACTGGTGTTTAGGGCACATTAAAACACACACTTGTCTCACAGTTTCTCTTGGGAGTCAGAAATGGTGTTGCTCTGTGGTTTTAGTTCAAGGCCTCATGAGGCTGCAACCTACCTGCTAGCCTAGTCTCTGGTCATCCAGAGATTTGACCAGAGCTGAAGAATCTGCTTTCAAAGTCCACTCCCAGCTGTTGGCCAGAGGCCTCGTCTGTTTTCCCTGTGGGCCACCTTCCTTAGAGTGAGTTAGCAGGAGAGTAACATGCCGTCACTTCGTGGTTCTCTTTTGATTGTCCACCGATAACACTGTGGACGGGAACTCACAGGAGGCTGAAGAACCCTTGGGCGCCACCTTGGAGGCTGGGAACAAACAAGCAGAGAGTGAGACTTGAAAGTACGATGCCATACGTATAGATTATAAACAAATCAGACACCGAGTATCTAATGAGAGACGTGCAGGACTTCACCAAACATGGCTGGGAACCAGAGGAAGGCCTGAAGGCATCGAGGGGGTTCAGTCAAGAAACCCAGAAGCCAGCAGCCACGAGGAAGAGTAAACTGATGCCAGACATCCAAGCCCTAGCCGACAAAGTTTGATTCTTAGTGCTTGATTCCAGTATTCCCAAGGTCACTTCTCAAAGGCTGTCGTAGTTCAGAATAAAAAGACCAGTGGAACAGCACCACGAGCCCAGGGAAAGACTCGTGCATGTGTGGAACACAGGCGAGACTGCAGTGTTGCAAGGGAAGGGTGGTCTCAGTGGCTGGCTTGGGCTGAGTGAATACCCATGTGGAGAAAAACATGGGTCTTAACCCCAGCCTCATTCTGCGCAGAACATCACCTCCAGAGAGATGACAGGTCTAAATGTGAGAGGCCAGATAGTAAAATTTTAAGAAAAAAATAGATCAACTTCATGACCTTGGTGTAGGCAAAGACTTACTAAATTACATCCCCACAGCACTAACTATGGAGGAGGATAGTTGACAGAATTTAAATTAAAGTCCAAGATATCACTGACAATAGAAAAGACAGTTACTAGATAGGGGAGGACATGAGCAAGAGGCAGACAACCCAGCAGACGTGGAGGCGAGAGGGACGTGGCCAGTGAATGCCCGTGGCTCTGCAGCCGGACGTGTGCAGTGCTCGGCTGTCTCGTGGCAGCGGGAGCTGCAAGCCTGCAGCACAATGTCGCTGTGCACCCACAGCATGCTGAAGACAGACAGGTGTGCCGGCTTCTTCAGGCTTCTCTACCAGAGTGCCTTTACACAGAGAAAAGTCTTCTCTCTGAATTCTGGAGTCCACAGTGCGGACTCTGGGGCTTGCTTTGTATCTGTCTCACAGTTCCCTTTGCTCTGCCTTATAAGGACCCGTGTGAATGCCTTTTGGGTTCACCAGGTCCTTACCTTAATCCCATCCTTATCCACCTAAGGGAATAGCAGCGGCCTGCAGGGATCAGGACTTGTCGTCCAGCCCCACACAGCAGACAGTGTTAAGTATTGGGAGATGAGAAAAGCCACACTGCTCATCCGCTGCCAGGGGAGTAGAAATTTCCCACTTGGGGAAACTGGCAGAATCTGCTGAAGACGAGTATCCATGTAACCTGTGGGCCTGCGCTTCCATACCCAGGTGTGTGCTAAACCGAAACGTGTGCGTGTGTCAGTCAAGAGACACAACAGGGGCTGTGCTAGTAGGCGGGACACTGCTTGAGACAGCCACATCCCATGTCCGAGCACCGGGGTTTGGTCTGGACTCTGCTGCCAGTCCCAGCTTCCTGCTGGTGCGTAGGTGATGGCTCAAGCGGTTGGATGCCTGCCACCCAGATAAGAGGTCTGGGTCCCAGCTTCGGCCCCGTCCAGCCCTGGTGGATGCAAGCATTTGGGAAGTGAATGGACAAAGGGAGATCTGTCTCTTTCAGATAAATAAATGAATAAAAGCTTTAAAAGACATAAAATAATGTTCATAACTGCAGTATTTGTGGTAGTTCTAGACTAGAAAGCTCCAGAATTCCCATCAGAGTAGACGGTGGTTTACTCCTGTAACGGAATATACTGCATAACAACAAGGATGCATAAACTCCAGTTAGATTTGAATGCATGGTTGCATCTCATGGTTGGAAAGAAGCCAAAGTGTGTATACGCTGTGGGGTTCCAGGAGAAGCTGCTGGTACCTGCAGTGTTAGAAGCCAGCATAGTGGTCATTCCTGCGTGTGTGTTGGCCAAGAAGTAGCCAAACAGGTCTGAGGAAGCCTCTGGGCTGCTTGTGTGCCTTGGTCTGGGTGCTGGTCCACAGCCAAACAGGTTCACTTTGTGAACATTGCACCTTTGCATGCGGGGTTTGTTGGAAGGGAGTTGTGGCTTTTTGTAGGTCTCCTTTCTAAAGGGTATCTTTTGCTTGAACTAATGGAGTAGTTTTCGTTTTGATTTGCATTGATTGTCCTCTTGGGTTTGAGAATTTTAAGAAAGCACCATTTAGGACTTAATTCTAAGGTTCCTAAGGGCTCTGAATTGAGTGTAACCGGGTTGCAAGTCAAGGCAGAACCAGAGTTAGTCTGCTGTAACCAGGGACAGGAAGCCCTGTTCAGCTTTACTTTCCATGTTGTTTGAATTCTTGTGCAAGTTCTTTCTGCATTTTGGGGAATGCGAGCGTTGTGTTCACAACTGTTAATCTCAAAGAACAGCCTGCTGCTTTCCCACTAGTTCAGCAAAACCCAGGGAGAACGGATTGGTCAGCTTGAGTCACATGGCCAGGCGTGGCTCCCTTGTCAGCGCCCCAGCAGGACTGGCCTGGAGGGGAGGGGTTGGGCCTACCCAAAGCAAGTGAAATGGTCTTGGTGCAGGAGAAAGGGGTTCTGTCACCCAGTGGGGCAGGGAAGGGGAAAGCCCACCAGGCGGACAGAAACTCACCTGGAGAGACCTTTCCAGTCTTCCCTCCTTGTACTTAACTAAGACACATTTTTTTTTTTTTTAACATTTATATATTTGAGAGGCAGAGTTACAAACAGAGACAGAAAGGTCTTCCACTCACTGGTTTGCTCCCCAGATGGCCAAAACAGCTGGATCTGAGTCAGTCCAAAGCCAGGAGCTTCTTCCGGGTCTCCCACGCGGGTGCAGAGGTCCAGGCACTTGGGCCATCCTCTGCTGCTTTTTCAGGTCATAGCAGAGAGCTGAGTCGGAAGAGGAGCAGCCAAGACTTCGGTCGGCGCCCATAGGGATGCCAGTGCCACAGGCAGAGGCTTAGCCTACTAGGCCACAGTGCTGGCCCCAGACACAGGCGGTTTAACAAGAACACCTGATACTCAGAGTTCACCTTCAGCTTTGGAGCTGCCTCTGCGCCTGCCCTGTGTTTGCCTGTGGTGTGACTGCACCCTGTGCTGCTGCTCTAACTCAGGAACTGGCAGACTTGTGCTCCTCATCTGTCTCTGTTCAGCCCATGAGCTCAGAGCGGCTTTTATATTTCAAGTGGTTGGGGGGAGAATCAAAAGGACATTTTATGGTGTGAAAATTCTGTGAAACCCAGGCGGAGGGTAGAGCTTTCTGGAACACAGGCCTGCCTTTGTTTTGTATTGGCTGTGGCTGTTGTGTGTGGCCCTGAAGCCGAACGTGCTTACAGATAGGTCATTTACACGAGTTTGCCGGTCCCTGGTTTAAACACTGTTGGGCAGAGCATAGTAACTGAGAGGCATGCGAGGTGGGATTCTCACAGTTGCCTTGAAACCTGTCTCCAGCTGCAGGTCATGCGGGGGTGTCGCGCAGGCCGTGGGAGCTTCCCTTGGAGGGGGAGCCGGGAAGGTTAGGGTTATATTTGCTAGAATTACCTCTGGGCTCTCATAGGTTTCAATAGCCTAGAATATTGGAAATGATGTATTAATTATTTGCTGGGAAAGAGTATGTCATATCCTCCAGGTCTTTATCCTGTTAGCCAGACGTGTGCCTTTTTGTCTTTCAGCCCAAGCAACAGCAGGAAAGACACCTGACATAGGGAACTGGGGGCTGGATCCAGAGAGCACCACCAAGCATCCACAGTGCAGAACCCTCACCAGAGTCCCGTACTGTATCAGAGTGAGTAGCCTTCTTCCCAGGGATATTGTACCAGGTGTACTTCCTGAGCTGTTTTATGAACTTCCTGGGATTTTTTGTTACTCTGCAAGAGTGCTTCCCCCACCCGTGAACACGTGTGTATTGTATGCCTGTGTGGTAGCTGGAGGTGCAGGTGCTGCTCCCTCTGAGAGCTTCCCCCTGCCACCAGCGAATGCTGATTCCAGCCGAGAAATCTAGTAGGATGCACCATACATTCTACTTTACTCTCCTTAGGGATCTCTGTTTTATGCAGTTACTAAGAATTTGCCATTTCTGTGTGGCTACTTTTCCAGTGAGCACATAAAGGCAGAGGGTGAGGAGTGGTCTCCATTGCCACTTTGTGCTGCAGGGCTAGTTCCATCTCTAATGGGCATTCTTTTTAAATTTGTGTTGTATGGGTTTTGTTTTTTCTGTCTTGAAATTAATAGTAAAGACCCCATATTAATGCCTCATGTTGACCTAGAGATTGAAAATTCAGATGCATTGTAAGGTCAGTCAGATAACTAAAGTGAAGGCCCCCACCTTACAGAGCCCTAGCTGTTCAATTTTAATTTTGAGAACATAAGTCCACTATTTGATCTTCCTGTTTTATGAAACAAGCTAGAAATATGAACTTTTCTGTGACATTGGCTAATTTTTGAATGGTAACAACTAAATGTTTAAAGTTTTTAAAATTGATTTATTTGAAAGAGAGAGAGATTAGCCATCCGTTGGTTTACTCCGCAGATGCCAGCCAGGCTAGGTTAGGCCAGATTCAGGAGTCCGGAACTGAATCTGGATTTCCCAGGTGGGTGGCGGGAACTCACACACTTGAGCCATCACCTGTCTCCCAGGGTGAGCGCCAGCAGGAAGCTAGAATAAGAAGTGGAGCCAGGACTGAAACCCAAGCACTCCGATATGGGATGTGAAAATCCCAAACAACATCTTAATCACTGTGCCAAACGTCCACCCCAAACAACTAATTAAAAAAAAATTAATTTTGGACTGGTGCTAAGGTGCAGAGGGTAAAGCCATGTCACCTAACTGCCATCCCTTAAGGGCACTGGTTTGAGTCCCAGCTGCTCCACTTCTAATGTAGCTCCCTGCTAATGTGTCTGGGAAAACAGTGGAGGATGGCCCAAGTGCTTGGGCCCCTGCACCCACGTGGGAGACCTGGAAGAAACTCCTGGCTTTGGCCTGGCCCAGCCCTGGCCATTGCAACTGTTTGGGAAATCAACCAGCAGATGGAAGATCCCTCCCTCCCTCCCTCCCTCTCTCCCTCTCTCCCTCTCTCCCTCTCTCCCTCTCTCTCTCTCTCTCTCTCTAACTCTGCCTTTCAAATAAAATAAATCTTAAGAAAAGAAAAATGTGCTGGCCAGCAAAACATGGCTGTGGGTCCAATTTTATCCAAGTTTGTCAGTTCACAACTTCTTTGGATTAGCTCATCATTATAAATTACGTTTCCTTCCAATCTCTTTCATGAGGAGAAAGAAAAATAATGACGTGAAAAAACTGCATTTTGCAGCTGCCTTACGCTACTAGTCATTCTTGCTGAATAACTGTTCCAGTATATAAATTATGAATACTACAGTTTGAAACAGTTTTCATCAATCTGTTTCCTCCCCTTTTCAATGGAAAATAGCCATTTTTTGCCTGACAAGAATACTTTTAACTATATTATACTGTGTTTAGTAAACAGAGCATTTTGGTGGGATTCCTACTGGGCATAAAGTGGATCTGAGGAAGAAACTTCTTAGCTGGGCAGTGCGTTGTATACATACAAGGTTCCTAAGAACAGTAAGACCAGGTGCCCCAAGAGCGGTCAGGAGTCTGATAACTAAAGCGAAGACGGTCTTTATGGAGGTGGGATGATTTCCTGAACAGGCGGCTGTACCGTAGGCAGAGGGCCGAAGTGGGTGACGTTGACACAGGAAGGAGCCGCACGAGCTACAGCGTGTTTCCAGGAACTCGATGGTTTGGATGGGAACTTGGAGGAGGAGCTGAGAATGAACGGTTACTGAGCACCCCTGGGTGCCAGGCACTGGATGCTTTCGATATGCGCTGTGGAGTCTGTCAGAGAGTGAAAGTGCCCCCTCCAGGGACGAGCCGGGGGCGGGGGGGGGGCAATCCAGGCTCCTCGGGTCATTAGATGGCACCGCTGGCGCTCGGACCCCCGCGGCCCTCACTCCGAGGCCTTCCCTTCTCACACGGGCCGGTGTGGGGAGTTGTGTACAGCAGAGAAGCTAGGTTGAGAGCTCCTCCCGGGGGCAGTTGGAGACGTTCAACAGAACCCAGATCTGAAACGGCCAGACTCACAGTTGAAACAGAAAGTAAAAGCAGGAGACGTTTCAGCGTGAAAACTTGGTGACGGAAGCACGGGAAAGCAGGCTTAATTGACGTGTGTTTGCCACTCTGTGATGGGCCTGTGTTGCATGCATTTACTGCTCTTCTCGTGCCAGGACCTCAGTAACTGGTGAGTGAGCTTTCTCTGCAGTCTTAAAATACTCAATATTGAATGTTCATGCTGGTAAGGACTTTGTAGGTTAAAAAGACATAAACGAAAGCCAAATTTCTCCTAAGTGTGGTTGCTGGTTATTCAAGGTATATAACTTACTATTGATTAAATGAAATCTTCTTAAACGAGTCTTTAAATGAAAATATCAGAACTCATGAATGCTTGTAGAATCATAGGTTTCTATCAGTTTCCTCATTTTTTAAAAATGAGGTTCTCAATAACACCAAATATGGCAGGATCTTGAGAAGATTAAATAAGATATAAATAAAACAATAAAAACAGTTCTTGGCCCATAATAAAGTAACAAAATTACCCTTTTATGGTTTTTTGGTCTTTTTGATCATCACATAAAGGTACATTTTGTGTCTAGAGGTGTATAAGGCTGATTCTTAAGTAACCTGTGGAATCTTTCTTCTGTATCTCTCAGTTTAAGAAAACCCTTGTTAATTTTGCTGTGTAGGGCAGTGACTCGGGAGAGTTGTTGGTGTTGCTCGTTTTGTACCATTAGCTTCATGTTCTCAAGTGAGTACTGGGATAGAAGGGCACGGTGGGCAAACTGCACTTTTTAGCTGTGAAGTTGAGTTTTGTGGAACAGAGCATTTCTCTCTTCTGGGTGTTTGTGCTCATTGGCCACGCACTGAAAGATGTAGGCGTCTCAGTGGGAGAGCTGGTCACTTCCTGTCTCAGTGCCCCCCGCTCGGGGTCGTGAATGGGCGGCCGTTTCAGATGCTGTGTCTCAGTCTTTACATCTCAGGAACCTGGTTAGACATTTTATCCCTGATTGCCTCCGCTTCCATAAACGTTAACTCCAGGGACAATACTGTACACGAGGTGCTGCCGCCTGTGTCGAGAGTGTGTATCTTACAGCCACGGGGTCTCAAAACTTCTGATTTGAGGACCTAATGTCCATTCTCTAAAATCTGAGAGGTGGCGTCAAGTGCAGGGAGTTGGTGTTTGGCAGCAGTTAATACACAGTCCCTGCTCCACTGCTGATTCCAGCCTCTTGCTAATGTGCATAAATAATGTATTTATTTTTGGAGGTTTATTTATTTATTTGAAAGAGCTACAGAGAGAGAGAGAGAATTTCTATTCTCTGGTTCACTCCCCAAATGGCTGCAATGGCCAGGGCTGGGCCAGGCAGAAGCCAGGAGCCAACAGTTTCATCTGGGTCTCCCACGAGGGTGGCAGGGCCTCGGACACTTGGGCCATCTTCTGCTGCTTTTCCCAGGCCAGTAGCAGGGAGCTAGAATGGAAGTGGAGTGGCCAGGGCAGAAACTGACCACTCGTATGGGGTGTAGATGTCACAGACAGTATCTACCCACTGACACACAGGGCCAGTCCCACATAAATCTTTTTTTTTTTTTTTTTTTTTTTTTTTTTGGTTTTTTTGGACAGGCAGAATTAGACAGAGAGAAAGGTCTTCCTTCCATTGGTTCACCCCCCAAAATGGCCGCCAGGGCTGGCGCCTTGTGCCGATCCAAAGCCAGGAGCCAGGTGCTTCCTCCTGGTCTCCCATGCGGGTGCAGGGCCCAAGCACCTGGGCCACAGCAGAGAGCTGGACTGGAAGAGGAGCAACCGGGACAGATCTGGCGCTGCAGGCGGAGGATTAGCCAAGTGAGCCACGGCGCTTGCCCCACATAAATAATTTTAAAATAAATAATTTAAAAACAAATTATTAGTTGTGCTGAATAATTTTTATTTATGAAAGTTACATCTAGTGCTGCTTATTGTATTACAAATTAAGCTGGGAAAATTTTTAAATTCTATTTCTTTTAATATATTTTAGTGAAAAATAATCACACAGAGACTCTGTCATGGCAAGAGGGGCTTTTTTTTTTTTTTTTTAAGATTTGTTTTATTTATTTGAAAAAGTTACAGAGAGAGAGAGGTCTTCCATCCACTGGGTCACTCCCCTGATGGCCGCAACGGCCAGAACTGTGCCTATCCAAGCCAGGAGCCAGGAGCTTCTTCCGGGTCTCCCACATGGGTGCAGGGGCCCAAGGACTTGGGCCATCTTCCACTGCTTTCCCAGGCCATAGCAGAGAGCTGGATCAGAAGTGGAGCAGCTGGGACTCAAACCGGCGCCCATGTGGGATGTGGGTGCTTCAGGCCAGGGCTTTAACCCACTGTGCCACAGCGCTGGCCCCAAGAGGGGCATTGTTAACACGTTTTTGCAAGTATCTTTAGGGTCTGGCTTAGCACAAAGATTCTAATAGCTGCCTCATAGCTCATAGTCTATTTTAATTACCTTTTCAGGTAACAAATATTATCCCTTTTTATTTTTATCTTTTTAATTTTAATTAATTAATTTTTTAAAATTTTTTGCCAGGTAGACAGAGAGTTATAGACAGTGAGAGACAGACAGCGAGAAGGGTCTTCCTTCCGTTGATTCACCCTTCCAATGGCCACCACGGCCAGCGCTGCGCCGATCCAAAGCCAGGAGCCAGGTACTTCCTCCCTGTCTGCCATGTGGGTGCAGGGACCCAAGTACTTGGGCCATCCTCCGCTGCCCTCCCGGGCCACAGCAGAGAGCTGGACTGGAAGAGGAGCAACCGGGACAGAACCGGCTGCCCAACCGGGACAGAACCGGCGGCCCAACCAGGACTAGAACCCGGGGTGCCGGTGCCGCAGGCGGAGGATTAGCCAAGTGAGCCACAGCGCCGGCCTAATGTTATTCCTTTTTGATACTATATTGAAACTTGACAATCGGTAGTTTTTTTTTTTAATTAAGTATTGATTGATGTATTTGAAAGGCAGAGTGACAGAGATCTTCCATCCACTGGGTCTTCCCGAGATAGCCACAGAACCTGAAACTCCCTCGGGGCTCCCACGTGGGTGCAGGGGCTTGAGCACTCTGCCATCCTCCACTGCTTTCCCGGGAGCTTTAGCAGGGACCTGGGGAGAGGCAGAGCGAGCAGCACTCAATCTGGCCTTCAGATTCAGGATGCAGGGAGGCAGGCGGCGGCTTAACCTGCAGCGCCACAGTGCGGACCCCGATAATTAGAAGTTTTTTTTTTTTTTTTAAGATTTATTTATTTATTTGAAAGGCAGAGCTACAGAGGCAGAGCTACACTTGCTGGTTCACTCCCCAAATGGCTACAGCAGTGGAGATGGACTGATCCAAAGCCAGGAGCCAGGAGCTTCTTCCAGGTCTCCCAAGCGGGTGCAGGGGCCCAAGGACCTGGACTATCTTCTGCTGATTTCCCAGGCGCATTAGCAGGGAGCTGAATCAGAAGTGGAGCAGCTGGGACTCGAACCAGTGTCCATATGGGATGCCAGCACTGCAGGTGGCGGCTTTACCTGCTACGCCACTACCCCAGCCCCAGTTGTTAGTTTCTTAAAGGAAAAATTTAAAGTGTTATCTTGTTATATTAAATTATATTTAATATATAATATATATTATATTAAAATTCATTGCTCTTTCACTTTGAATAGGTCTTTGGTTCTTGAATAATTTTGTACCATTTTCATTGATCACTTGGAAAATACTGATTCTTTGATTTCTGAAAATGAAATACTGATTAAGCCTCAACTAAGGACAGCTCATTAATATAACTGACCTTGTTGGAAGCGCTCAAAACTCTTGAGCTTTTTTTTATTATTTTTTCATTTGAATGACAGTATTGTCCTTGGTGATGAATTATTTTGGTTGTTTGAAGTGACAGGCGAACTGTTCATTTTCAGGAAAATGCGATATACTCACGTCTGAATAACCAGTCTGTCAGTGGTTCTTTTATTTTTTTAAAGATTTTATTTATTTATTTGAGAGGTAGAGTTACAGACAGTGAGAGGGAGAGGCAGAGAGAAAGGTCTTCTTTCCAGATGGCCGCAACGGCTGGAGCTGCGCTGATCGGAAGCTGGGAGCCAGGTGCTTCTTCATGGCCTCCTACGCGGGTGCAGGGGCCCAAGGACTTGGGCCATCCTCTACTGCCTTCCCAGGCCATAGCAGAGAGCTGTAGTGGAAGAGGAGCAACCGGGACTAGAACCCGGCGCCCATATGGGATGCTGGTGCTGCAGGCGGAGGATTAACTCAGTGAGCCACGGTGCCAGCCCCAGTGGTTCTTTTAAATAACTGTTCCATAGAACAGGTTTCTCAATTCCAGTAGCTGCACAAGTGTTTGATCTTCAGTCATCATACTTCTGCATGTAGCAGGGGTGCTTCCTGTGCGCTGCCCAGTTTGTCAGAATACTAGTGAGATGGGTGTTCGCCCCTCACTTTCACTGGGAGAGCGCGGTGATGGAATTAGGCGCCTTGATGATGCAGCAGCTGCATATCCACGGCTGCTTTGGCAGCGCTGGCCCTCGTATCAATGCAGTGAGAAAGGCAGGTGATTCTCGAGGGTTACTCTGAGGGCAGCGTTGGCCACACAGGAGTCACTGGACCCCACTTTGAGAATCGCTGGTATAGGAGCGTGGACTTTACCAGGTCCATCACTCACCAGTCAGATGCAAGATTGTGAGCAGTCACCCGGTACCCAGACGAAACATCATAGGGAAAACAACCAGAAACTGCCGAGCAGCGTCTCAAACATAGAGTGGAGGAGTGTGTGTGTGTGTTTGACGTTAGCCCTTGTCTACCAGTGTCCTTGTCCTTGACTTTGTTATGTGTGTGTACAGGGCTACAGGAGGGCAGGGACTGTCGCATGGCTCCAAGTCTATGGTTCTTTTTTTTTTTTTTTTTGACAGAGTGGACAGTGAGAGAGAGAGACAGAGAGAAAGGTCTTCCTTCCGTTGGTTCACCCTCCAATGGCTGCCGCGGGCGGCGCACCGTGCTGATCCGATGGCAGGAGCCAGGTGCTTCTCCTGGTCTCCCATGGGGTGCAGGGCCCAAGCACTTGGGCCATCCTCCACTGCACTCCCTGGCCACAGCAGAGAGCTGGCCTGGAAGAGGGGCAACCGGGACAGAATCCGGTGCCCGGACTGGGACTAGAACCCGGTGTGCCGGTGCCGCAAGGCGGAGGATTAGCCTACTGAGCCGCGGCGCCAGCTACAAGTCTGCGGTTTTAGGATATTCCTTTCTAAAGGCAGCCACTAGGCTGCTGCCCCCCCCCCCTTTTTTTTTTGTAATTCAGTCCAGTGCCCTAACTTGGTTTTCTTTCCAAATTTTCATTAAATCCTCTCTGGCCCTTACAGTCTTTCCAAAAAAAATAAAGAAAAATCTGTGAACAGTGAGTGCTTTCCTTCCATATTTAGTAATTCAGGGAAAGCTGAGTGGCAGAGCACCCTCCTCCTTGTACGGTCTTGGGCGCACAGGCTCGTCCTCAGTGCACATAGACCCATTGCGGAGTAACCTTCATCCCGGAGGCTGTTTTTGCTAGGAGCAAGCCCGTGACTGCCGTCTGTCGTGGTTTTCCTGCCAGAGAGCCAGTGGCTTTGTGAGAGAAGTGGCACATGGGGCTCCTCCATCTGCTGCCATTTCCCGTTGTCTTCGCATGGCTCCAAGCAGGTCCTCAGCCCCTGCATCCCCCAACTCCTCCTTCTGCCCTGTTCCTTGTCGTTCAGTTTCTTAATTTCAGACACCTAAAACATAGCGTTTTCCTCTGATTAGCAAGTGTTATTCTCATTTTGGAGACATTTTGAAGTTCAGAACAGGTGTACGTCAGGAAGGAACTGGCAGCTGGCGTGGCCGCCCTTGGACCTGCTCTTTGCTGCTCTGATGATGAATGGGAGCCGTGTGAGCCCTGGCTGGCAGCACGTCCTCCCTAAGTACTCTGGAATGTTCTCAGTGACCTGTGGTGTTGTCGTTAGTGTGTTCAGTACTCCTCAAGAAATTCAGTTCTCCTAGCGTTGGGCATTTAGGTTACTTGGAGTTTATCAGCGTTGTGAGCTGCCCTGAGCGCACCCTTGTCTGTGACCGCTCACCTCATCTCTGGTTCTGCTCGCTGAGGAGACCTGTCAGGGAGCAGGGCTGCTGCTCGAGTGGCACTCCCCTTTCACAAGGCTCCTGAGGGGGTTGCCACATCACTTCCAGAGACTGCAGCAGGCTCTCACTTCCCCGACATCCTCCCCAGCCCTCTGTGTTTTCCCTGGATTGGTCTTGGCAAGTACTTTCTGAATAGAGTCAATCATACAAGTTTTAATATTAAGCCAAAGTGTAAATGCTTAGGCATTAAATAGTGTGACATACAGCAGAACTACCGTGTGTGTTTCTCTGCATCGAACTAGTCTGGAAAGGGCTTTCCTGGGCATTCTGGCAGTGTGGAGGCTTCGAAACACACAGCTTCTGCAGGACTTGTCTTTACTGTGTGAGCCCAGGGCCAACCTGGTGGTATGGAGTAGGCTGGGGATGAAAGCCTAAGATGTGTGTGTCCTTTTGTTCATTGTTTTTCCATTCTTTAGCCCTAGGTTTTGGGGCTGCTGTAGAGGGTGGTTCGAGGGTGGTGGTGAGTATATGTAGGTTTTTTCTTTTGTTTTCTAAGGCAGATTTGAATAATGTATGATTTAGGCTTGTGTCTGACTTCTTTGCTAATTCTTTGTAAATTTCAGGTGTGCAACAGAGGAACATGGCTCAAGAAACAAATCACAGCCAAGTGCCTATGCTTTGTTCCACGGGCTGCGGATTTTATGGAAACCCTCGTACAAATGGCATGTGTTCAGTATGCTATAAAGAGCATCTTCAAAGACAGAACAGTAGTAACGGTAGAATAAGCCCGCCTGGTAAGTGGTTCTGCTGAGACACAGCAGTGTTGAGAATTGAAGTGCACTCGGGCCCAGTGTACACAGTAGCACCTTTCTCTGCGCATCCTCGTACTCACTTTCCCACGTTCAAAGCGATCCCACTTCTCACTGGTGCCGTGCCAATGAGTGGGGGGGAGTTGGGAGTGAGGGAGTCCTAGGTCCTAGCTCGTTGGACAAAAGTGAATCCATTCCGTCGACTTGCTGTGCTGCGCAGGTCTGCTGCTTTATGGAAACAGAGGCATGCCCCGAGGAAACCTTACAGCTCTCTTGGAAAGTTAGGGAAGTGTGGGCTTCTGGGGGACGTGGGTTTCTTGTCTGGGGCGCCTTCTGCAGCCAAGGTACAGGAAGAGAGAATGTATGCATGTAGTCCAGAGAGGACTGGGTCTGACCAGGACTGGCCTGAGGGAGGGGGAGGTGTAGTGGATTAGTCAGAATAAGGAAGAGTCAGCCTCAGTTTACTGGGGTAGCTTTTTCTTCTTTCCCCTGGATTGTTTATCCATTTTATTCGTTTGAGAAGCAGAGAGAAAAGTTTCCCATCTGCCGTCTCACTCCCCGAACGCCCACACACCACTTGCTGCCTTGCAGGGAGGGCATTAGCAGGACGCCAAGCAGACCTGGGAGTAGAACTCAGGCGCTGTAGGCTGGGTGCTGTTGTGCCACGCAGTGTCTTACACTGCACCAGTGCCCACCCCTGTTGTGGGCCTGTGGTATTTTATTTCTGTGGTTGTATAAAAAGAATCACGTAAAAGCAAAGTGTTGCAAGTACTGATGAAGAATGACTCTCATGGAAGTCAGTGCCTAAATGTTCAGATTTTTTGTGGTTAATCAAAGTCCAGGCTGTTGAATTAATTTGTAATTTCATATGGAGTCTTTCTTTTTTTAAAAGATTGATTGATTTTTTTGTTTGACAGATAGAGTTAGACAGTGAGAGAGACAGAGAAAGAGAAAGGTCTTCCTTCTGTTGGTTCACCCCCCCAAATGACCGCTATGGCTGGAACTACGCCGCTCCGCAACCAGGAGCCAGGTGCTTCTTCCTGGTCTCCCATGCAGGTGCAGGGCCCAAGCACTTGGACCATCTTCCACTGCCCTCCCGGGCCACAGCAGAGAGCTGGAGTGGAAGAGGAGCAACTGGGACTAGAACCCGGTGCCCATATGGGATGCTGGAGCTGCAGGCGGAGGATCAACCAAGTGAGCCACGGCGCCGGCCCCTCATATGGGGTCTTTCTTATTGTTTCTTGTTCAAGCTGCAAACTAGACTATTTAATTGGAACTTCTCAAAAAATTATATCAAATTATATCAAATGAATATAAATTGTATTTTTAAAAAAGATATATTTGAAAGGCAGAGCTAGGGAGACAGAGGTCATCCATCCACTGGTTCACTCCCCAGATGCCTGCAGTGGCCAGAGCTGGCCTGGCCTGAAGCAAGAAGCCAGGAGCCAGGAGCTTCCTCGGGGTCTCCCACATGGGTGCAGGGGCCCAAGCACCAGGCCATCTTTCTCTGCTTACACAGACACATTAGCAGGGAGCTGGATCTGAAGTGGAGCATCCAGGACACCAACCGGCACCCATGCCCGTTGCAGACCGTGGCTTAACCTGCTACGACACAGCGCCAGCCCCAAGTTGTTGTTTTTAAATCACACCATCCTCTTCATTTCTGCCTTATGAAGTACAGGGAAAGTTACGCGGTGTGCGGAGCCTGAATCCATGTCTGCCTGACTGCTAAGCCATCTTTTATTTTAAATGTCTGATTTATGCACACGTTCTTGCATTAAAGGGTGTGGGTTGGAGTGATACTCAACCTGAGAAGTAGCACTATAGTTTATAAATATATAAAACTTACATGTGATTTCCTTTTTGGTTAAAATTATGCTTTTCTGGTAAAAATGAAAAATAAATAATATAGCATTTTTATTGGCAAACTGTTGAAAAAATTGTAGCTGAAAATAATGAATCCAAATATTGTACCGCAAAACACAGTCTCCGCCGACTAGACTTAGTGGAGAATCGGTGGTAGCTTTGAAGGTGGGGCCTTGGACTTCCCGAGCGCAGGGTCACTGATGTGGGTGCGGTCCTGTCCAGCAGCTCCTGCCAGTCGCCTGTCGGAGTCGCTCCCAGCCCAGTGCGCAGATGGCGGTGGCCCCGAAGCGCAGTCGGCGTCAGACTCTTCGTCCTCATCTCTGCAGCCAAGGTGAGGGCGTCTCGCAGCTGCTAAGGAAAACCAAGGAGCGGATGCTGGCTTGGATGAGCCTCACTGAGGGAAGCCGTGTGAGGCCGCCGAGCGCTCAGGGGTCTGAAGTGGGGTCCGTCTGAGGCTGCGCACTGGGCTCAGGTTTTCATTGCTTTCCCACTGGGCAGGGGAGGGCGTCTGTGAAGACGGGGATTCCCTCCTCAGACATCTTGGCCTTTGTTCTCATAATCCGCCCTGCCCCTTCCCTGGAGTCCCTCTGGAGCTCGTTAGTTCTGAACGTCCAGTCTCAGCCTGGACGCGTGAGTACCTAGTATTGAAAACACAGTCGCACCACAGATCATCTTTGTCTAATACTGTGATGTGTAGTACATGTTTGTTTGTAGTATATTTTTCTCTTTTTTAAGTATATTTATTTATTAATTTGAAAGAGTTACAAAGAGAGAGAGACTTTTCCATCTGCTAGTTCACTCCTCCAACACACTAGCCAGAGCAGAGCCAGGCCAAAGCCAGGAGCCAGGAGCTTCTTCCAGATCTCCCACGTGGGTGCAGGGGCCCAAGCACCTGGGCCATCTTCTGTTACGTTTCCAGGCACATTAGCAGGGAGCTGGACAGGAAGTAGAACAACCAGGTCTTGAACTGGCACCCATGTGGGATGCTGGCATTTCAGGCGGGGGCTTTACCTGCTACACCACCACGCTGATATATTTTTCTTTCTAATTCTGAGGATACTTCATTTAGAAACCTGCATGCAGAAATATTTGTTTCATTTTTGGTCTCCTGTTAGGAACACACATTTTTTATATATATATATGTATGTATATATATAATATAATATAATATACAATGTATATAATGTATATACTGTGTGTGTGGGGGTAATGTGTGTGTGTGTCCTGCACTGTGGTTCCTTTTTCTGATTCGCGGTAGGAGATGTGCAGTTCTGCGATGCCGGCCTGTCTTCTGCAGCTTCGCGTTAGGGTTCCCTCCCCACGTCCATGTCACGCTGCTTCATGTGGTGAATTCATGTGGTACTTGAAAGGACACACACTGTTACTTTGTTCCCAAAGCAATAAACTTCTGGTCCAAATTAGTCTCCAGTTTCAAAGCTCTATGCTAGTTATTTTTAAAAAGTGTTAATGATCTATGTAGATAAGTTGACCTCTTATTATATCACTTCAGTTAATAATCATCAGCAGAGACCATTTTTTAAAATGGAAACACTTTTGTTTTTCTAGCCCTGTATCAAGTCAGTCACTTTTATCAGAATCTGTAGCATCTTCCCAAGTGGACAGTACATCTGTGGACAAAGCAGTACCTGAAACAGAAGATCTGCAAGGTGTGTATATGAACAAGAAGATACTGTGTCATTCGTGTGTGGTCGTAGGCCAGACGCTAGCTCCTTCCTTCCTTTGTGAACCGAAGGCTTTGTATCTTCAGGTATTTATGAAATGTGGGAAACCACGTCCAATTTAGGTATAATTACATTATCAGCATAAATAGAAACTTCAAAATTGATTTAGTTTGAAAAATGTGGTTCAATGAACATGGGGGTTGCACTGTTCTATTTATTATTTATTAACACCATTTCCTCTCCAAGCAAAACAAGGCTGCTGGCTTACGGGGAATCTGTTTCTCCTGGGTTGTGACTGAGATCTCCGAGTACAGTCAGCACCTTGTGTTTGGCACAGCCTCATGGTTTGCCTGTGCTCGTCAGATCCCCATTCTGTGGATCAGAGTGGTCTGAGAAGGCTTGGCCGTGTGCATGGGCGGTCTGAGAAGGCTTTCTTACTGAGAGACCTAGTGCAGAGGCCACGTTAGAAGGCTGTTCATTAATGCTGAATTGGTTATTTGTTCCCACCAGTGGAAGTGACGTGTTGGATGAGAAAGGTTGGCTGGGGTGGGAAGCCCAGGTCTGTGCAGGGTGTCGCTGTGCCCAGGGTGGGACGTAGAGAGAAGACGTGCCCCACCAAACTTCCCATTGCCCTCTTGTTCACACAGCAGCAACAGCTAGCCTGGTGTTTTTTCCACCCAGCAGTTGTGTGGGTCGGCCTGGGGTGTGGAGGGGGTGTTCCTGTTGGTTTCTGGCCATTAAATTTTAAATTTTAGTGGCTAAGTCCCCTTGCTTTGATTTCATTCCCAGATGTTATTCTTGACATAAGTTGAACATAGAATTTGCAAGAGAATATATGTGTGCAGTATAAATATTCTAGTCCACCTTGCATATTATTATGAATTCCGTAAATATTATAAGTGAACAATTTTATGTTTTAGTTAAAAAGGAAGTTCTGAGGAAGAGAAGCGATGGGGGCTGTTTCTAAGAGCAGGAATAGATTCAGGTACCCACTGGAAATGGGAGCCACGTAAGGAGTCTGAGTTTTCAGTGAGATGGTGGCAAGGGTGTGGTTGCTGTAGACGGGCTGCAGAAGGGAACGAGTCTGGACAGAGTTTTGGGGAGCGGCAGCTGGGAGTGATAGAACCTCAAACGCAGAGAGCTCATTGCGGGGTCGCTGGGAAATTGCAGGCATTCGAATGCGTGGGTGACAGCCTTGTGTCTGAGACTGTACGTTGTTTGCAGAGGCTGAAGGATGGGGAGCACTTTACAGCCTTCGTGGTTTGTGGACAGCAGTACAGGTTCCCCCACCTAGGCTGAGTGCGTGAACTCAAAAATGGCCACGACGCCGTGTCCGGAGAAATCGCGGCGGGCTTCAGGAATCATAGACTTCTTTTTGCACACATAAATTGAATGCCTTTGGGTTGAACCAGTATCAACTTCTAAGTACCTTTTAAAAACTTAGCATCCATAATTCAGATAGCAGCGTCTTTGACAAATCAGGTGGACCTTTCACCCGAGTTTAAGAGATTAATTTTCAATGTATAAAGTCCCTTGATGATCTAGTTTTTTAAAAATATTTTAACTTACATTGTTAATACCTTTTTTATTATAAATACAAATATAAATAATAGCGTGTGTATATATACATAGATAGCCATACATGTGCACACGCACACACACACACACACACACACTTACAGCTCCCTTATTGGATAGGGATGGATTCAGAGAATTTTTCCATCTATTTCAGAGCTGAGTGGAAAGAGATAAAAAGGTCTCTCCGGCTTGGTCGTGGTGTTTGCTCTGGCCCTGGAATCCGGGTGTCTGACTCTAGCCCGGTGTTTTTTCCACCCAGCGGTTGTGCGGGTCGGCCTGGGGTGTGGAGGGGGGTGTTCCTGTTTAGTTTCTGTTTCCCAGGGAGGGGAGCTGGTCTGGCAAGCCACCCAGGCACCTGCTTTCTTCCTTGTCACTCCGTGTGCCTGCCTCAAGGGGAATTTATTTAGCGAGGAATCCAGTCCCAGGTGGAAGCGGGGCCTGAGCGGCAGCTGTGCCTGACCAGGGTTTGCTAACAGTTTTTATTAGCGTTTTCAGAACAGCTTTTTCTCTGCAGGTATCCTGCGTATAATGAGGCTGTGCTGCCACCAGGTGGGTGTGCTGCTTCCATTTTGGTCCCATAGTTCCAAAGAATTTTTCTCCTGTTTGAGAATTTGGCAAACATGTTTCTCGTGTAACTGTGCTTTTTTAAATAAAATAACCATAATAGCAGTATTTCACATGCACAGTGCCCCTTAAAGAATATTAAGTCAGGTTTCCAGTTCACAAAAGCTGGCTTTAAAAAAAAAAAATCACGTTCATCATGTTTCTATAACTCATTGTCCTTGAATGGCCAGCAGTGCAATTAACCTCGGCCACCCTCTCAGTCCCCACTCCCTGGACCACACTGAAGGGAATGTGGAATTTGGATGGAGAGGTTCTGTTTTCATAGCTTGACACCCCCAGTTAGCTTCTGTGAGCCTTCGTATTTAAAGGCAAATGAGCACCATGTCTGTTTTGTAGGCTGTTAAAGTTACTGAGACGATAGAAGTGCAGTGAGCTTGGTAAACTGCACCCGATGTCCTCTGTGTGAAGCCAGAGGACCTCGGAGTCACGGATGCATTGAAGAGGCGGAGAGAGCATCCCCGGGGAGCTGAGTTACTGTCAGGGACCATGGAGAGGGGACTGCTGCCCTGGGGGACAGGGCGACCAGCATTCTCAGGCTCCTCCTAGCCCAGAGGGCTCCCGACTCCACAGTGCGTGGACTTGGGAAGTCGGTGGTTCAGGACCATCAAGGGGACCCTCCCTTTAGACTGGTGGAAGGAAACTGTGCAGGTTAAAAACCTCTGATTTTGAAGAGTGATGAAAGTAGCCAAAGCCATCTTGAAATAGAGCAACAGAGTTGGAGGGCCAACTCTTCTAGTTTCATAGTTGACTTCATCAGGCCCGTGGCACTGGCATGAGGACAGTCAGACAATGGACACAAGTGGGAGCCCAGAAATATTCTTCCAAGTTTATGGGCACTTGGTTTTCTCCAGAGGCGCCAGGAGCATTCTATGGGAAAAGAGTAGTATTTTCAACAGATGATACTGGGACAACCTCATATCCACATTCAAAAGAATGAATTGGAAAAAAAAAAAAAAGAATGAATTGAACCCTGGCTCATACTGTATGCAGAAACAATCTATCAAAATACAGCATAGATGTAAATAAATGTAAGAGCTAAAATGATAAAGCTTTTCAAAGAAAACAGGTTAAACTTGTGGTATTGGATTAGGCAGTAGTTGCTTGGATATGACACCTACAGCACTAGCAACCAAAGAAAAACCGAGATGAATTGAAGTACATCAAGCTTAAAGTATTAGTCCAACCAGCACTGTCAAGAGAATGGAAAACAGTTCACAGAATGAGAGAAACTATAAGTCATACCTGGTAAAATATAGAAAGAAATAATTATAGTGCAACAATAAAAAAGCAACCGAAATAAAAGTAGGCATCGGATTTGAATAGACGTTGCTCCGAAGAGGCTAACACAAGTTGTCAATAGGCATGTTAACAACACTCCGCATCATTATCGTTAGGGAAGTGTAGATCAAAGCTCTAAGAGATGCCACTTCACAGCACGAGGGTGACTGATCAGTGAAGTTTTGTCAAGGCCGTGGAGACGTTGGCGCCTCATGCGTTTCTGGTGGGGAAATAAAGTGGTGCAGATGATGCAGAACAGTATCCCACGTGACCCAGCAGTTTCACGCTCGCTCCAAGGGTAGGGAAGCATCTGTACACAGAGATTTGCAATGAGGGTTCATAGCAGCATCATTCGTTATAACCAAAAAACGGAAACAACACTAGGCATCCACACTAGGTTACCCTAAAACCACAAGAAGGAAGGAAATTCTGATCCGTGGCACAGTGTGGATGAACTTTATTTATTTGGTCGGCAGAGTGACAGGTGCTTTCCCAGGCTTCATAGCAGGGGGTTAGATTGGGAGTAGAACAGCTAGGAATCAAACCGGCACTCGGAGAAGGGATGCCGAAGTGGCAGGCAGCGGCTTAACCCGTCCCACCACAACATTAGCCCAAGTGGTGGGTAAGTAGAAGGAGCCGGGTGCAGAAGGCCACGTGTGTGTGACTCCAGTTTTGTGGTGTGTTTGGAACAGGCAGAATGGTACCTGCAGAACGATGCGTAGGTGCCAGGGCAGTAGGGAGTGATTGCCAACGTACGAGGTTTTGCTGTAGAGTGGACTAGGACGTGTTGATGAGTGGACTAGTTCTGGCAGGTTCACGGCCTTGTGAATATCCTAATTAGACACTTCATCATTATCATCAGCGTCAGCAGTCGAAAATGTGTTTAGGTGGTTAAGTGAACATGTGGCAGTGTTGTCTCGTCCCCACCCCAGCACCCCGAAAAAGACTGCGAAGGTAGCTTTTGCTCTGGGGAAATGGCAGAAGCAGAGGCACACAGGCAGGGAAACACGGAAGCTGGGAGTCAGTGGGCAGACCGGCTCCTGGAAGGGCCATGCAGGCCAGGGGACCTTGTAGCCAGGGTCCATGTGGAGCCAGACAGTGGGAATCGCTGCCAGAGTCCCTTTGCTTTCTAAAGCGACGCCGCGTCGCGTGTTAGGGAGATGAATGTAAAAGGCTTCTCTGGCCCAGGTAGCTGGGAGCAGGAACCAGTCTCACGTGCAGAGCTGCTCCCTGTCCAGCATGGGCACCGCAGGCCTTGAGCGCTTGAAGCGTAGCTAGTCCAGAAGCAGAGTGTGGGTGCTACTCAGCCGCTGGGTATCCTGCAGGTGCGGCACACATGCTGGGCTTTGAAGACCTCGTGCTCCTCCACGTGGAAAATATCTAATACTCCCTGCATTCAGTACAGTTTTGAAGTGCTGGTATTACCCACTTTCGCTTTTCAACACGATTGCTGGAAAATATAAAATTAATGCCTATCATGTCTTTGGGTTGCTGCTACTAAGGCAAGCCTATCTTTTTAAAATATTTTAAGTTCTTCTCATTTTATTTGATTGAGTCCACACCCTCTTTTGGTACATGGAGGGAGAGAGCAGGCCCTTTGTCTCAGTGGGCCACCGTGAGCGTGCCCCGTTCCTTCCGTGTCAGTGTGTGCAACTCAGACGTGCTGTCCGTGCTCAGGGGCAGGTGAGCAGAAAGAGAACAGCGTGCAGGCGCTGAGGCTCCTTGGATGAGACTGCGAGGAAGGATACACGTGGGTACCGGGTACCTCCAGAAGTTCACGGGAAACGCAGTTAAGTCACTTGGAGATCTGCACGTCATTTTCACATAACACACATTTCATTCAAACTTTCTGAAGGCCCCCTTGTGTAGCGTATTGTGTTACAAGGATATTGCATCCACCACCAGGACCAGTTGGACACTAAGGTCATGTTCGGGAGTTGCCTGCTAATGCCGTCTTCTGTTCCCTGTTAGTTCTCACCATGTATGAATATGCCCCAGACAGAGGTGGTGCTAGGCAGTTTTCTGTACCTGTTGTTACATGAGCACTTTCTGCTTTTCCTCTCCAAGACCCAGAGCGGGAGGCCTTGGTCCCCCTGACTGTGGCCCTCCATGTGGGTGTGGACTGTCCCTGCACAGTGCTTTTCTGAAGCAGCGATAGTGGCCAGGAGACTCTGTCTGTTGCCAGTTTCCAGTTACAGCTACGTTAGCGAGTGCCGAGCAGTTTACCCCACAGTCTTCGTGCCCTCACACGGGCCCAGGGACGCTTCTTCATGGTGGGTAACAGGCCGACAGCCTGCCTCCATCTGTCACCTCCGAGTGCAGCCACCACCTGGTTCTCGGGGGCTGTCCTTGTGGCTTTAGGTTCAACCAGGTCATGGTCTTTTGGCCAGTGGGTCACTGTGTAGCCCTTTTAAGGATTGAATTTTACATAACCAGAATTTGATAAGGCATTCTCTATTCATAAATCTAACAGATAAGCTGAGAAACAGGCTAATTTCTGGAATTCATAGACATGTACAGATTACCATATCAGCTTGCTGTGACTTAATTTGGTGGCTGTTTAAATTCAGGCTCTCAGCCACTGGTTTCAGGTAAGCCGAGGTCACCTTTATCTCTTGGGCTCGTAACTGACCCTTACTGGTCCCACACTTGAGCCCTACCTTTAGATCGCCTGCTGATCCTTAGTTTTTAAGATTGAGTGTTTGCCTCAGTTAGAAAGAAAGCGCTTGCCTCAGCCAGGCATGGAGTTAACCCTGACGCACCTGCTGGCGAGGTCTGGACAGTGTTTGTATGGGTAGCACACAGAGACATTTTCACTTTCTCCAGGTACCATTCAGAGTTTGCATCGCATTAGTTAAGCCAGTTCTCTCTGTGTGTGTGTGTGTGTGTGTGCGCACGCGCGCAAGGTAGCTTGCATGTCAATTCTAGGTGTTGGGGACAGTACACAGAGCTGGGTTGTTCCTGACTGCGAGATGAGTTGTTTTGAGCTCTTGTACATGTATCTAAGCCCCGTGTGGAGCTGCTCCAGGGGCTGGGATAAAACAGTAGACATTCAGCCTTGCCCTCATGATGCTGACGTGGTAGGGATGTCTGTTTATTGGAAATCAGAGGTTTTGTGTGTCCATGTTCTGTTTCAAAAATCAAGTGTTTGTATCACAGGAACTGTGTCCACGTGTCTAGGTGGAGTAGTCTTCAGTAGTGCATATTTGCCTGTTAGCATGTGGCATCCTGCATTTTGTCCTGTTTTGCTGCCAGCAGGAGGCAGTGTGTGAGCACATCTAGCTTAGAGTCCACTGCAGCCGGCATTGGAGGTCTGGTGTGTGCATTTGCTGTAATAGGTGCTGCAGATTCGCACGGGGAAAAGATGCCGCCTTACCTCCTGCACGGGCACGTGAATCCGGTGGGTCAGCAGCTCGGTGATCCTCCAGCAGCTGTGGAGTGGTAGAAGCCACTGGGGATGGAGAGAAATGGGACAGGTTCCTGCCCTCGGAGAATGACAGTCCTGACAGCGTGAGCACACAGAGGAGGGTTTCCAACCTCAGCTGATGGGGCGGGGCAGAGGGGTTGGAGGTGATGAGACAGCTCAGTAGGAAACACAGATCAGTGTTAGCCAGGGAAAGACTGTGCCGATGCCCAGGGGTGAGTGTTTGGCGTGCCCAGGGCGGCACTAGTGCCTGCACTTAGAGGCTGAGGCACAGAGTATTGGGGGGGTGGGGGGCTAGAGAAGAGGGCGAAGGACATCCTGGGCTTCCAAGATGGGGCCCAGTGAAGGAACATGCCTAGCTTTCCGCCCACGGCAGATGGTGATCGGATGCTGGATGGGAAGGTAGACTGAAGAGGGGCTCTTGCGACAGACCCAGCATTTGGGGAGGCTGTGAAAGCTGATCGTAGTGAAAAACGGCAGAGAACTGAGCCAGGAAGGGCGATTGATCTGCACCCTGAGAAGAGAAGACGGCCTGGGTCCAGTGAGGATGAGGGAGAGGCGTGTGGTAGTTTGGGAGATGTGAGCAAAGGTGTGCGGCGTTTCCCGTTACACAGGGGATGGACCTGTGGTGATGAAACCAGAGAGGTGAGAGCTGTAGCCAGGCTGGGCACTCCCTGCTGCAGAGCCCGGGTCACGTCCACAAGGTTGTGTGTCTAGACGCTGAGCTGAGCAGCGTGGTGAGTGACAGGAGCAGGGCACACGGCAGTAATCTGACCTGACTCTGGCCTTGGTTTCAGGACATAAGTGCATCTATTTATTATCTTAATGCTAATATTTTAAAATATCTGTGCATCAGTGTATCTTATTCCTAACATTTTACATGGTTTGTTTTCAATGTGAGATACTCTTGAGAGCTTTAGACAAACTTAGTGTGCCAAAGAACACTTGTTTTTCCCCTCTGTGCCCTGAGAAACCTCAGGGGCCTGCATGCAGCCATTCTGTTCACCCTCCCGCAGGACACCGCAGGACATGGTTCTCCTGGGGTGCTGCCTGCTGGACTGGTACTCTAGGGTGAGCTGGAGGAGGGCCGTCTGGGATGAGGTCTGGTACTCTAGGGTGAGCTGGAGGAGGGCCGTCTGGGATGGGGTCAGGTACTCTAGGTGAGCTGGAGGAGGAGCGTCTGGGATGAGGTCAGGTACTCTAGGTGAGCTGGAGGAGGAACGTCTGGGATGGGGTCAGGTACTCTAGGTGAGCTGGAGGAGGGCCGTCTGGGATGAGGTCAGGTACTCTAGGGTGAGCTGGAGGAGGGCCGTCTGGGATGGGGTCAGGTACTCTAGGTGAGCTGGGAGGAGCATCTGGGATGAGGTCAGGCACTCTAGGTGAGCTGGAGGAGGGCCGTCTGGGATGAGGTCAGGTACTCTAGGGTGAGCTGGAGGAGGGCCGTCTGGGATGGGGTCAGGTACTCTAGGTGAGCTGGAGGAGGGCCGTCTGGGATGGGGTCAGGTACTCTAGGGTGAGCTGGAGGAGGGCCGTCTGGGATGAGGTCAGGTACTCTAGGGTGAGCTGGAGGAGGAACGTCTGGGATGGGGTCAGGTACTCTAGGTGAGCTGGAGGAGGGCCGTCTGGGATGGCGTCAGGTACTCGAGGGTGAGCTGGAGGAGGAGCGTCTGGGATGGGGTCAGGTACTCTAGGGTGAGCTGGAGGAGGGCCGTCTGGGATGGGGTCAGGTACTCTAGGTGAGCTGGAGGAGGGCCGTCTTGGTGAGCCTCAAGCGTCGCGGCCTACAGGTCAGCTCTGTCTGCTCCGGATTGTTGTCTGTGTGCCAGATGCATATTTTGAACTGAGCGGGGATGTGTTCTGCACACGGCTTTGCTGTTTAATGTAGACGTGTGTCATGCTCAAACAACTGAAGAATGGATCCGGTGGGAGTGGGGACAGCCATCCCAGCATCAGATCCTTGTTTGAATAATTAAACTTGCCCCCTCCTGTTTTGTCAGCTTCGGTATCAGATACGGCACAGCTACCGTCTGAAGAGCAGAGCAAGTCTGCTGAGAAACCAAAACAAAAGAAGAACCGCTGTTTCATGTGCAGGAAGAAGCTGGGGCTGACTGGTAAGGGCTGATCCGTGGCTTCAGGCTAGGCTGATGTTCCCGAGCACGCGCGGCGCGCTGTTACTAACTTGAGTCAGCATTGTGTCTGTTCCCAGAATTACCGTGGTGGGCACTGCAGCTTCGGATCCTCTCACATAAAAACAGTTCTAGTGAGCTGTCTCCCGTGAAGTGAAGGGAACTGAGTTTGACAGTGTCAGAACCAGCGAGATCTGTGTGCCCGGTGCCAGGGTACCTGCCTTCCCAGTGCTGTGCCATCTGTAGCACGGTGGACTGAGCTCCGTGTCCCGCCCGTGCAGCCCAGTGCTGCCACACCGAGTAGTTGTTGTGCTGTGCTGGCTGCCCTAGCCCAGCGGTTCGGTGGTGGTGGTAAGCAGAGAGGGAGCAGACAGTGTTTGAAACTGCTTAGCAAGGAACGTGGATGTGGTGCGTGCAGCGAGCCTGGTGGAGGCCCGTGTGTCGGCTGGGCCTTGACTGATGCTGAGGACTTGTCACCGATGGAGCTGGTCCGGTTCCAGCAGGATGGCGGCTGGGGCAGAAGCGCAGAGAAAGGAAAGCACGGAGCTCCCTTGGGGACCACGGGGTGTGGGATGGAGCTGAGGCCCAGAGTCAGACGGCGGTGAGGGGCGGCAAGTGCTATACCTGCAGTGCTGGGAGTTCATGCGCCCGGTGTCTGCTGCAGGCTGGCAGGTGGACAGAGCAGAGTGGGTCAGATGCGGAGCACAGCTGTGCTTCAGGGTCCTTCTCTCTGACTGAAGGGGTTGGTGATAAAGAAGAAAAGACATTACATTAGAGTCTGCAACTCAGGATGCTGACCCATACCTTGTCAGGTGTGCATGGTAAGAATATAAACATGAATAAAGACATCGCAGAGTGCACATATTTAATGCCAAATAGAACTCTCAGACTCTGTGAGTGCAGGGGTGGGTAGTTTTCACCCTGTCCTTTGTGGTGTTCGAGTCGAGGGCCACTGCTGCGCTTTTTTTTTCCATTATGAAGTTTTAGAAGTTAAAAAATGAGGTAAAGCTCAAGCGTCAGGGTTTAAAATGCTGATCCCTAAGCTCCGTTTCCAACAGTTCCACAGCACAGTAAAATCCTGATTGGGGCAGCAGGTCCATTTTGGTTTTTCTTTCTTTCTTTCTTTTTCAATTTGTATTTATTTGAGGAATGAGGAACAGGGAACTCCCACCTGTGGTTCACTCCCCAGTGCCTGCAGTGACCACTAGGAGCCAGGACCTCAGTAGTGGCAGGGACCCATTGCCTCCCAGGGTTGACATCAGTGGGAGCCCTGCACCTGCTGTGGGACACGGGCACCCTAACTGGTGTCTTGACTGCTAGGCCCAGCGTCCGCCCCCAGCACCAGTTTTTCTGTAAAGATGTTCTTTAACTGTTACATCTCTGTTTTGGCTTCAACCCTTCGGGCATTTCCTTAAAATCAAGTAGCATGCATTGTGTGTTTACACCGTGTTTGGACTTAATGCATTCCTTATTTAATCTGTGACTCCAGAGTTACAGAAGCAGAAAGTGAGTCTTGGAAAGGCTCTGTAACGTGCCCACATTAGCAGGTAGATTCATGCCGACACAGCCTGTCTCTAGATGCACACGCTGTCTCAGCCGGGCGCAGTGCGCGAGAAGCTAGTGTGGGACTCCGTCAGCACAGCTCGCTGAGGCTCTGCTCCTCTCAGTCCAGTGTTGAAGATGGCTTTCCAGCAGTGGGCTGCGTTTACTTTGCAGCGTTTGGGTTTGAAAAATGTTTCACGTGTTCAAGTTAGCAACCCCTGTTTTTGATGGGAAGTGATTCTGGCCATTGCACAGGTAAAGACTGAGCTCAGAGAAGTGGTTGGGACTCATCTGGTAAAACGTGTGTTTGCAGAAAGGAGTAAGAATTGAAGCTGGCAGCTGGTGAGCTTTGAGAATGTGCTTGTGCTGTTGTGCATTGGGAGTGAGTCCCTGCCTGGGTGCCCTGAACACGGGGCACTGCTCAGCGTTAGTTACGCCGCAGAACGGACGCGCTCGCCCTTCGCCCGACTCACGTCTGTGTGTCATCCCTTTTCAGGGTTTGAATGCCGGTGTGGAAATGTTTACTGTGGTGTACACCGTTACTCAGATGTACACAATTGCTCTTACAATTACAAAGCTGATGCTGCTGAGAAAATCAGAAAAGAAAATCCAGTCGTTGTTGGTGAAAAGATCCAGAAGATTTGAACTCCTGCTGGAATACAAAATCCTTTGACCATCTGCAAACTAAAAATTGACTTGAGGTTTTTTTTCCTAGTCACTGGGAAGGTAGAGCAATGTATCTTGCATAGACCTTTGAATCATGCATGTCATCAGAAGAATAGATTTTTGTTTTTGTTTTGAAAATGACTCTGAACATTTATTTCCATTGCAGTTTCTGTGGCTGAAAAGACTTAAACTTTACAAGTATTATCCTTTTAAGATCATTTTAATTTTAGTTGAGTGCAGAGGGCTTTTATAACAAACGTGGAGAAATTTTGGAGGGCTGTGATTTTTCCAGTATTAAACACGCATGCGTTCCTCTTGCAGTTTATTTCCTCGTTGTGTATGTATATATAGCTTTTCTCTGCAGCACGATTTCCCTTTCGATGATGCCCTCTAGGGCACGGCTAGTTATCAGTAACTGAATGTATCTTGATCATTATGGCTGCTTCTGTTCTCTCATTAACAAAGGTTATACATGTGTTAGCTGATAGTTTCTTTGCACCCACTATTTATGTCTGAATCATTTGTCACAGGAGACGAGTATGTATGATGAGATTCTTAGTTTGTGTGTTTAAAAAAATTTTTTTTGAGCGAGGGAAGAAAAAGCTGTGTGCATTTCATTGCTGGCTGCAGATTTCTTTCAGATTACGCTCACTGGTCTGTGTGTATACAATATGAAGAATGATCTGAAGTAATTGTGCTGTATTTATGTTTATCCACAGTCTTTGATTAAATAAAAAGGAAAACCAGAATGCTCCCTTGTATTATTCTTTTCTCATATTTATTCTAGCAGTTAATTTGTCTTTCGGCCTTTTAGTTTTCCGCTTCCTAATTTTTGCAAGCGTGTGGCCGTTGTCTGTCTGGAGTCTCCTGACTCGTCTTCCGCTGACACGCCGTCGTCATCCTACTCCCTGTGAACCCGACGCCTCAGCATTTCCCCACAGCCAAGAGTCTCCTCGCCACTTTCCTGGCCCTCGTCTGTGAGGCCGTTCTGCCCGGTCACGTTGACTGACAGCGGCAGGGAGGGGCTCCTTTGGCGAGCTGGATTAGGGAGACTGGAAGAGGGTGACTAGAGGAGTGGGCAGCTGGGCGTGTGGACCGTTTTGCCCTGTGGTTCCCAGACTGTTGGCAGCAGCCTTTCGGAAACATGAGGCGTACACAGGCAGCCAGTCTAGAATTCTGGGTTGGAAACTGTTTACTTGTGTATTCTACCTGAGTATTTAAGGGTGGTTCAATATTAGAATCTGTAAATTTAAATGGTGGCATTGGCAGGCTATAATGAGCAAGCAAGTTTAATAGAATTTAACATCCATTCATGACTTCAAAAATATCCTTGATAAATTAGGGCTAGAAAAGGATTTCCTTAAAAGCTGATGGTTTCTATATAAAACCAATCAACCAAACAAATCAAAATCCAAGCATCTGCCAAAAGAAGAAACTGGCTTCCTTTCAAACCCGGAAACAACGGGTGGCCAGCCGCTGTCCCTGCTTAGGCTAAGGCCTGTGTGGCAGCTGGAGCCAGTCAAGCTAGACAAGAGCAAGTCTTAAGAAGAAAGGGAAAAGCTCATGTTTGCACATTAAATGATTGTTCTCATGGAAAACCTGAACACGGCTGGAAGTGACTGGAGAAAAGAGTTGCATTTTCAGAGGTCTGCTGCGTTTCCTCACACCAGCGAACTAGAAAGCCAGAACCGTGGGTCCAGCGTGCCAGTCGCCCAGGAAGTGGACGGTGTGCATTGAAGATCTCAAGAAGGAGTTCGGAAGCGTTATTAAGAAGTAATGAAAAGACTCCTCGTAAATAGACATGTCCATGCACAGGAAGATCACACCAAGGATGTCATTTGTCCCCCGCAGACCTGTGTTACATCTTTTCAAACATAGCCTTGACATTTCTCTACCTTGTCCTATTAACACAGAAGCAACAACATTAATTCAGAGGGCCAGTGCGATAGAAGGCCAGGACAGTGGAGACAGGAGATGGGTAGCACTTGGCCAACAAGAGAGCTGAGTGGCATCTGGAAACCCAGTTGGGGGCAGCCTCTGGGAGTCCCACAGGGCCATGACATATCTGTAATGTTAAGACGCGGTCTCGGAAATGAAAGGGGCCATTACTGCGGATCCCACATGCATAGGAGATGGTAAAGGAATTTTGTGAACACTTCTATGCCCAGAGCTTTGATAATGGACCAATTCCTTGAAGGATGGAATGTACCAAAACTCTCCCAGAGAGGAACGAACCAACTAAAACAGAACTGTTTGTAGATGACACGCTATCTGTAGGAAATGTCAACTTTAAAAAAATCATGTAACTAAGCATTATTGTAAGTTTGCAGCATAGAAGGTTAATACAATACACCAAAAATTAATATAGAAAAGCAATTGCTTCCCTATATACCAGGAATGGGAACTGTGAATTTGAAACTAAAAACATACCATTTGCATTAATACATAAGGCCCAGAAATAGATATAAATCTAATATTCCCAAGATCTTTATGAGGAAGACTACAAAACTAATGAAAAAGATACATAAATAAGTGGATAGCCCATGTTCACTGAGAGAAAGACAATACTGTCAGTTCTTCCCAACTTGATCTATAAATTAAAAGTAGTTTGAATTAAAATCCCAGCGAGTTACTTCATGCACATTGATAAGGTGACTCTAAGGTGTATATGGAGAGCCCAAATATGCAGACTAGTCAACATAATGTTGAAGAAAATCAGAAGACTTGCAGGACTTGTAGATACCACTCAACTTACAGAATTAATAGTAAGAAGGGGCTGGCGCTGTGGCCGCAGTGGGTTAATGCCCTGGCCTGAAGCACCAGCATCCCACCAGTTTGAGTCTCGGCTGCTCCACTTCCAATCCAGCTCTCTGCTATGGCCTGGGAAAGCAGTGGAAGATGGCCCAAGTCCTTGGGCCCCTGCACCTGTGTGGGAGACCCGAAAGAAGCTCCTGGCTCCTGGCTCCTGGCTTCAGATCGGCTCAGCTCCAGCCACTGAGGCCATCCGGGGAGTGAACCAGCAGGTGGAAGACCTCTCTGTCACTACCTCTCTCTGTAACTGTCTTGCAAATAAATAAAAAATAAATCTTAAGAGTAGAAAAGAATAGTCTTGCACAAAAATTGATAACGGAACAGACAATACAGAAATACAGCAACAAAAACAAAGGAGAAAGGACAATTAGGGAAATGTAGTCCTTTTCATTCAGAATTTTTTTTCAACCAATTTTGAAGGATCAACTACATGTTCCCATGTAAAACAGTGAAATTACAGTTAAGTAAAACTTTGCAGAAATTAACTCAAAATGTATCAAACAATTGTAAGGCAGAACAATTTGAAACTCAAAGAATGCAGGTGATATTTAATGTGATCTTGGTTTGGCAATGCTTTTTTAGGTAAAACACCAAAAGCAAAATTTGTGAAAGAAAAAATATTTCTATGTTGGGGGCAAGTGTTGTGGCACAGAGAGTTAAGCAGCCACTTGGAGCACCACATTGCATATCGGAGTGCCGGTTCAAGTCCCAGCTGCTTCATTTCTGATCCAGACTCCTGCTAATGCACCTAGGAAAGCAGCAGAAGAGGGCCCAAGTACTTGAGACTTAAGCCCCTGACACCAGGGAGGAAGACCCAGGTGGAGTTCCTGGCTCCTGGCTTTAGCCTGGCCCAGCCCTGGCTGTTGTGGCTATTTGTGAAATGAACCAGATGATGGAAGATTCCCCCCACGTCCCTCTTGTTGCTCTGCCTTTCTAAAAACCTTCGCAAGTTGGATTTCATTAAAATGACTAACTTCTTTGCAAGAGCCACTGTTAAGGAAAAGACAAGCTATAGAGTAGGAGAAAATATTAGCAGAACATGTATCTGGTAAAGGGCTTTTATACAAAACAAAAAAGAATGCCTAAAATTCTATAAAATAAACACCTGATTTAAAAATGGGCAAAATATCTGAACAGGCACCTTATCAAAGGAGATGTACGGATGGTAAAGAACCATATGGAAGATGCTCAAGAACATGTCTGGGGAATCAAAGCAACAAGACATCAGGACACACCTCTTAGATGGCTAAAGTCCAGTCATACTGAGGCCACCTGGCGCCGTCGACGTGTGATGCAGGCTCAGCAGAACGCAGCGTGATGCAGGCTCAGCAGAACGCAGCGTGGTACTGCTGCCCGGGAAGCCTACTTCAGTTTCTTCCAAGGCATTACTACACGGCCCAGCTAGATAGTTGCCCAAATAGGATCTTAAAGAACTGTGTCAGCCGGCGCCACGGCTCACTAGGCTAATCCTCCGCCTTGCGGCGCCGGCACACCGGGTTCTAGTCCCGGTCGGGGTGCCGGATTCTGTCCCGGTTGCCCCTCTTCCAGGCCAGCTCTCTGCTGTGGCCAAGGAGTGCAGTGGAGGATGGCCCAGGTGCTTGGGCCCTGCACCCCATGGGAGACCAGGAGAAGCACCTGGCTTCAGATCAGCGTGGTGTGCCGGCCGCAGCAGCCATTGGAGGGTGAACCAACAGCAAGGGAAGACCTTTCTCTCTCTCTCTCTCTCTCACTGTCCACTCTGCCTGTCAAAAAAAAAAAAAAAAAAAAAAAAACAAACAAACAAAAAAAACAAAAAACAAAAAACTGTGTCCACACCGAAACCTGCACAGCAGTTTGTAGCAGCTGTGTTCTTAAGTACCCAAAACAGCAGTCCACCAGCTGGTACATCTATACAAGGAAGCAGCATTCGGCAGTGGCGGCAACGAACGCTCAGTGCAGGGAAGCAGGTGGGGACGTTAAATGCATGTTGTTAAGTGAGAGAGGCCAGTCTGAAACAGCTACGTGCTGTGTGTGAATCCATCTCGATGGCAACACAGTAGAGATGGTAAAAAAATGAGCTGTTTCTAGGTGAAGCACCGGGGTCTTTCAGAAATCAGCAAAACAACCTCATTTAGAATTTAGAACAAACAGAAACTTGGGAATAGGTTTAACCAAGGAGGTAAACGCTCTAAACACTGACAACTGTGGAACACTGCTGAAAGCAACAGAAGAACATAGAAATAGATGGGAAGACAGCCCATGGTCATGAAGTGGAGGAACTGGTGTTGCTGAAATGTCCACAGTACCCAGAGAGACCTCCAGTCTCTGCGATCTGTATGAAAATTCCAATACCATCCTTTAAAAAAACTGCTTCAAATATTATACTTTAAAAAACATTAAAACTTGTTTCTGATTAACAATAATTGTACATACTTGCGGGTTACAGAGTGATGTTTGTGGGTTTTTTTGCTAGACCATTCTATGATGTCTAATTTTTTGAGGTTTTTATTTTTTAAATTTTAAGTTAATTTTAAGAGATTCATTATAGTTCATAGATACGGTTCTAAGAAACTCCCACCAATGCATTCCTTTTAAAAAATAGGAAAAAATGATCCTAAAATTTTTGTGGAACCATGAGAGATATCAAATAGCCAAAGCAATCTTTAAAAAATTTTTTTTTTATTTGAAAGGCAGAGTTAGAGAGAGAGAGAGGAGAGAGAGAGAGCTTCCGTCTGCTGGTTCACTCCCCAAATGGCCGCAATGACTGGGAATGGGCCAGGCTGAAGCCAGATGCCAGGAGCTTTTTCCAGGTCTCCTATGTAGGTGCAGGGGCCCCAAAGACTTGGGCCACCCTCCGCTGCTTTCCCAGGTGCACTAGCAGGGAGCTGGATCGGAAGTGGAGCAGCCAGGAAGGAATCCAGTCGGCGTCCATATGGGGTGCAGCGCTGCAGGTAGTAAC